TATATATATATATTTAATTTAATTTATTATACAAACAAAGCTCGAAGTCCTGATATGAAACTTGAACGAGTTTAGTCCGATTACCACTTGTTCCAGGCAGAACAAAAATAATTCACTACTTTGTATATTTATTTGTTCAGTAAATCTAATTTTAACTTTAGATAAACTTAATCAAATAATTCTGTGATGAAAATCCGTGTCAAAAAAAAACACTCCAAGACCTTATTAGCTACTACTTAGTTATTATGATACAGTATTGGGGTTTTTAATGCAAACGTTTTTTTAATACAAAATCACAAAAACGAAATGAGACTGTGAATTATTTTTTGCTAGAATGGAAATATTGTAGTATGTTTCTTTAGTCCATTAGCATAAAAACTTTCACCAAAATCGCCAAAAAAAATTTCAACCACGAAACATCCCGGGTCCATCTTTACCCAGGGAGGACAAAGTAGAGTTTTTCTTAATCCCAAGTCCCCAAGCACAATTTTTTCTGAATTTGTTCTTCTAAAACAAGAATCAGGTATCTCAAAGTCATCAGATGAATACTACTTCTAATACTATTATATAGTTAGTTGTCTCGGAAATTAGTTATTTCCGTGCAGGTCAAACGACGCTCCTGAATTCCTCTCCTTGGATTTGACGCGTTCAACTCGGCACATTCAAAAGTCTCAAAATAGATTCACTTCAATTATACATAATATGCATGCAAATGCATCATAGTATCATTGGTTACGAAATAACCAGGGAAAACACCAGGAAAAATAAATAATATGGGGAAAGGAATTGAGAGTGGTTTCTTGCTTTTTGTTTCCAAAAGTGGCATCAGGGCTTTATTGGTAATTCTTAATATTTTGTTCCGAGTTTTGATAAAAATATTGATGAATCTGGCTAATATTTGATCTTAGTAATGAAAGTACTAAAAATAATTTGATTTGATTTTTTGAATTAGAAATAAATAAATTGATTTCAAAATCTTGCTGCATCCTATGGTTAAAATATGATTGCAAGTAACATGAGTTACTTGCTAACTTTCCGATTTGTTAGTTGGTAAAATAAAAATGCTTCCTTTAAATATACTAAAATTATTTTAAATGTTGCTTGTTTAGCAATCTTCATGGCAAGAGAGTTTATTTTACATATTTATATAAACATAAAAATGGCGGATTTATGAAGATGGCGGGAAAAATCACTATTACCAACATCACTAATAATAATGGCGGGATATTTGAATTGCAAATGTATATATATTATTACATTTAGCATTATAACATGTCTTTACATAAAAAATGTGACTATTTTGTCCACTAGTCATTCTGAATACTTTGTCACCAAAATTGGGAAAAACAATATTGGCTTCTAAAGTTTGGTATAAAATTTTTGGTATTGGTTTTAATACAGAAGAGATCCTACGTCTATTTTATGGTTGTGCCTTCATCGTTACATTTATATATCCATTACATTAATCAATTAGATAAATTATTGCAATAAATCCGAACATTCAGATGCTATTAATATTATTATTTCAATTGATTTGAACTTTTCAACTCGACTGAGGAACTTTGGTACATTTAATCACCAATTAAATCTTGATGTCGAATCATTGATTTCCAAATCCTACTAAAAAATATCAATTTTCTTATGTTAAAGAGATAAAATTATACTTAATTGTACTTTTTTTTGTTACCTAAAATTGATTTATAAGAATTAATTTTATGATAAATAAATTAAATTAACAATTTTATGCTTGTAATTTTTTTTACTGATTTTAATTTAAAATTATCTATTTAAATTTCATTTAAATTATCTATTTATGCAAGTACAAAGAGTGTTTTAGATAAATTAATTAACGACCTGATTATTTACAATTTGTGCAAAACAATCAACTTCATGATTCTCATTGTTGATTAATATAAGTTTTGACGTAAATTTCAAATAAAAATTTATATCTAATTACGTAATAATTTATATAAATTACACGTTCTCATGATCCAAATTACAAACATCAATATATCAAAACGTGATGTTTGACTCATTTTTAGAGGTTGATTTAAAAATATTTTTTTTATAAAAATCTACGGACATTTAAAAATCGTTTTATCCGAATTTCATTTCTTATTTGAGAGATTTCGATTAGTAATCGATTATTTGAAATTTAATTGACCTTCGTCGAATGTCTGTGAGTCAATGTTCGGCCTTGTCCAAGCAAAAAAACCATTACGTGCTCTATTTTATGGCTTTTTAATATATGCATTAATTTTAATTGAAACATTAGATTTAGAATAAAATTTAGAATTTTATTTCTTTGTACTTTATACTATTTGAATTTTACTCAATTATTTTTAGAAAATAGAATAATAAATTAGGTATAAATGTAAATGATATACACTAAATCAGACAGTGAATGAATATTGCATTTATTTTTTATATTGTATTGCTTCCTAAGTGTTTCCGGAAACCTTTAACAATTTTGTATATATATAAATAAATATATATTCAATTTATTTATTTAAAAAGCATTGTAAAAACCTATGGATCTTTTATTTATTCCTTCCAGCTTTTTTGCATATTTTTTTTTAAACCTTTTTAAGACTTCCTTAAATTATATATTTATATTTGATAATAATGCATGTATTTGGAAGAATCTTCTAAATATAATAAAATTTTATCTGAAAAGATTAAATTCAATATCAAACTAGTGGGGTGCATGGCATCGTGCCTTAAGGCAAATTGCTGGAACTTTCCATACCGTAACGAAAAGATCGAGGAATATTAAATGTTTTCATACAGATTTTTATAAATATTGTAATATTGTCTAAAATTTATTAGAATTATATAAACTGAATTGCAAAGTTGAGAAAATTTGTTTGAAGTATATTAGAACAGAATTGAAATTAAAATCTGATTTATTTTCGATATACAAAAAAAAATTCTTGAAATAAAAATGACAAAAAAAATTAGAAACAATTTTTTTTTTCAAAAGCAATTATTTTGTTGAAACAAGCAGAAAGTTCTTTCAATAATTAATAACTGACATTTTTTGCACATTTAGCTCCGTAGCTACGAAATGGCTGGACCTGCCTTTGCTAAAAACTAATCACCTTTTTCCCAATCATTACAATATGAATGTTTTTTAGATCATTCAAATCGGATGCTCCGTTCTCTCAAAAACTCGATTTCTATTTTCTGCACTCTTTGCTCTTTATCTCCATAACGACGGGACCTGCCTTTGCCAAAAACTAATCAGCACATCTCCCTATCAATAGGGATCGAATGTTTTTTAAACCATTCAAATCGGTTGATCCGTGCGCCCGAAAACGTGGACGAAAAAATGCGGACATACAAAACACACACACAAACACATCCATTTTTTCTGAGGTATGCCAAAGTGTTCAGAAACCTTCAAAACGTCGAGAAATGCAAAAATTTTCATTTTCGATTTTCGGCTCATTACTATAACTACCCACGGGAAGTTAAAAAGTAAGGAAGAATGTTATATGCTGTTATTATAAGATTCTTCCTTCCTTCCTTGTTTATATGTAAAATACACCTGATCGCACGGCAAATAGACATTTTCACAGTTCACTACCTAAACATAAACAAACAAGCTTAAGATAGCGTTGTCATGGTAACATTATGTTATGAAGCAGAATTGCACCATTAGTATATGTATCGGGAACCTTATGAAACTTGTCTTTAGGCAAAATGCTACTTACACACTTGCATTTAATGCGACCCTCTCCTAAACTATTATTGAAATTAGTATAAAAGGAAATAGAACCTTATCAGAGTATTTCACCTCAGCAGCCATTGTATATTAGTATCATGTTTTTTTTTTTATTTTCATATCTGAACAGCAATCAGAACTTTACGTGTTATAAGCTCTTGGGCTGAAACTTCTCTCTACTTTGTATTTTTAGATGGTAACCCAATGGTTGATCCATTCATATTTGATGATTTTGTTATTAGAATTAATCTAATAGGGCTGACCTTTGGTGCAGCAATGCTGGGCGAAGGCTATTTTCACTTGGAAACATATCGCTATCTATATGGATAAAATTATATCACTAAATTTTATTTATGTAATGCAATATGTATTTTATAACTCAAATATAGCGTCACTACTGTCAGTGTCGCTTTCCCCCACTATAACAATGTACCCGCCATTTTAAATTCTTGTTAATGTAAAAATATGTAAAATAATTTCTCTTGCCATGAAGATCGCAAAACAGGCAACATTTAAAATAAATTTAGTATAGTTAGAGGAAGTATTTTTATTTTACCACTATATTTCCAAATGAAAATCTTTGTCACTACTGCTTGACAACAGGATGCTCGAAACTGGTTGGGTAAACACGAAACCTGCCACTGTTCTTATCCCAATGTTTTTTTTTCTCTTTTTTTTTTAACTCAGTTTTATTTAGCAATCAGAAATACATAAAGGTTCCTATGAGCTAAAGTGACAATATTTATGAGTGATGCCTAAGAAGAACTCCAACTTTTCAGTTTTACAATTAATATAATATTATATTAGACCTAATCTAAGACCAAGTCTAAGGGCCAACCTCCTAATGCCAAAAGGTTGAGTAATGTCAACTATAGATGGGTTTGAATGTGAGTCCAGTTTGCGTTTGCATTTTTCTTTGAATTCTTTGAACGTTAATTGCACCGTTTTCATGTTGAGGTCGCTGTGAATGGAATTTGTCACGTACCACGGAGAATTAAGTATTTTACGTAAATTTTTTGACTGAGTTCTCTGCATTATAGCTATATTAGATTTGTAAGCACATCCCCAGAGCTCAATTCCGTAGGTCCAGATTGGTTTAATAATTGATTTATATAGCAGCAACTTATTTTCGACAGAGAGCTTAGACTTTTTACGCAGTAGCCAATCAAATTCTATTCTATCCCAATGTTAAAATCATTTCTTTTCCAATCTGATTTTTCTCTAATCATCTGATTCCGATTCAAATTAACATTGTCCTTTCCTCTTTTTCCAGGATGGTGGGGTACGAGGCACTTCGTGACCTTCATGCTGTTTTTGGGGATGGCCAACGCCTACGTGATGCGCACCAACATGTCGGTCGCCATCGTGGCGATGGTCAATCACACGGCGGTTGGCGTCGGACACGAAATCGTTGACGACGAGTGCCCCGACACCGATTACGGAAACCACACATCGGTAAGTGAAATTTTAATGGAAATCACACATCGGTAATGTTATGGCAAGGCCATATTGCTCTCCGACTTGCATACATTATGCTACTGAATCATACTGAATACTGTCAAAGTATCATGTATTTGCTTTGCATTCAGACGTTTTACACATAAACTGCAACGTCATTTGTATGTTATGAAGCTGGGTCAGAAAGACACTGTTATCTAACATCGTTTTTTGACATTTGTGCGGTTTCTGGGTTAGGTTTTCTATCTGACAATCTGAGAAAAACGCCTTACTGCACAGCAACCACATGGCCATGGGGGGTAAACATAGAACAAATACGCTTTAAACTTATGGGTATTTTCAGCATATAACAGGATTTAAATATTGCATATTTAAATAAATTTTATCTAGAATTGAACCTAATGGTAAATTTACGTGCTACAGTTAGCGGCGACATCTATTACATGCTGAAAGAATTCCAATTAATGTAATATCAAAGCGGCCGTCAATATTTACTATGGAAAGTTAGTCATAACATAGCCTTGCCATAACATTGGTTTGTTATACGGCAGAATCAGTCCAATTAATATTAATTTCTTTAACCTTTACCACTCGGACGTTTTGTACTAGCAACTTGGCGACGCATTCTGACGAAAACTTACTTGTTGCAAACTTCTGATATTTTTTATATGTTATGCAATTTATTTGATAAAATGTTGTGGATATTGAAGAACATAGCTTTACAATAATGTCTAAATTTACTTTTTGCTGTTTGTTAAGAGGGCATCCATTATTTCGTGATCGATTTTTATAAGAATTTTTAGACCTTTCCTTTTTCTTGGCGATACGTGGTGATATTCAAAATTAATTCCCCCTTCCCTCATACACAAAACATCATGTGCATTTTTAGTCACGAGAATGAATTGTAAAATTTTTGATAATTCATCAAAGTTTGGAAAAATATATTAGTCAAAATTTGTGTCAAAAGTCGCTTTTGTGATGTGATGAGTTAAAATTTGAGTATTACTAATTTAAAAGCCATTGGTATAAAATTGGAAAAAGCAGATATTAGGCTTGAGACAAGATCGGTCAAGGCATTAGCAATTTATGTTAGGCTTTGGAATTAGCAAAAAAGTATATGAGCAGCCTACAAAACCAAAACTTCTCTAGTTGCGTAAAAAAAATGTTACCATTAATTTAAATCATTAAAAATTTCATCTAAATATCTAAATCTCAATTTCGGTCGATTAAGTCAATTATTACACCTATCAGGAAGTTCATGCAACTTGCCTTGAGGCAAAATGGCACTTTTAACTAGTAACCTCACGTGATTAATAGACGCCCCCTAAAGTGTAAAACAATTTTTATAATTCCACAGAAAAGTGTAACATTTAATATTCATTCAATTTTCTCTTGGAGAATACTCTTTAGATATAGATATAACTTCAAACAGATTTAAGTTATATTTATTTTTTTGTTACAGACCGTTCAAGATGGAGAATTCATATGGAGTACATCGTTGCAGAGTCAAATTCTATCTTCATTCTTCTGGGGCTATGTCATAACACAGGTATGTTTAATTTAGTAATATTAAATTGAACCTCAAGACAAAAAATCATCTTGCTCCTACTTTCATATTACTTCTAGTATGAAAAACCTACAAAAATGATTTCGAATCATTTTATTATAAACTAGATGACCCGACAGACGTTGTCCTGTACTTATATTTACAATTCAAAAGTTCCATTTTTTTAATAACCTATACCAATTAGTTAAAAATTATTATGTTTCTTTACACTACTATCTATACCGACATGTATATATATCCACCTTTATGGATCTTAAATTTACAATTGCTTTAAATAAAATAATGAGTATTTGCTTTTTTGAAAAACATCATAAAACATTTTTTGTTTATAATTAGTTCTTTTATCGATATCCGACGTTATTTTGAAAAAAAAAAATGAAATTACACCACTGAGAGGAATGTCATTCCCCCGGGAAATGGCAAAGGAGTCTAAATTATTTTCACTTTTGAACTAGAGAGTAAGATGAACCTAATTTTAAAAATTTATACAAATTGGAGCACAGTAAAAAATTCAGACTCAAAACGCTCCATTGACTTGAGTAAATATTCCGTATCCGATGGCAAAAATATGAAAATACTAACGTTTGTATGTGAAAAAGAAAACGGCTGTTTTTAGAGTTTTCCCGGCAATTATTCGATTTTTTCTCGCCGTTACAACCATCCTTCGACTTCAACGAACATTTTAAAAAAATAATTGGCCAAATCGGTCCAGGCGTTGTTTGAGTTATGCGCTTACCAACACATATTGCTATTCATTTTTATATTATAAATTTCATTTATTTTTCTTTTCAGATTCCATTCGGTATTTTATCAAAACGATATGGTGCCAAATGGTTTTTAGGCGTCGGCATGATGATAAATTCCTTGTTTGGTCTCCTGGTTCCTGTCGCAGCACGCGAAGGAGGATCAGGCTGGCTCATAGCTGTCAGATTCATCCAGGGATTGGGCGAAGTGAGTAGAGATACACATTTGTATTTATCATAAATAAATTTATCATAAATTATATGATAGTAAACATATTTCAACCCTCCTTTTAGGGTCCGATTGTGCCCTGCACTCACGCCATGTTGGCCAAGTGGATTCCACCAAATGAACGTTCCAGAATGGGAGCTGCTGTATATGCAGGTAATAATAATATATATATATATATATATATATATATATATATATATATATTATAAAAAAGAATGCGCGTAAGGTTCACACGCGATTGAAGTAATACTTATTTGCTACTGTACAAGATGGCATTTAAGTCAAAACAAATACATCATATAACAATTTTTGAATAATGTTTGTTAGTAATATGGTAACACTCGTGATGCACACATTTATTAGTGTCAACCATTATACACATTTATATAATGATAAATTATAAATTATATATTTATAATAGCATTAAAAATATGTATAATATTTGAAAACAATCATGTAATTAAAGTCATACTTCAAATGTGACATGATCGGTTTGTCATTGTAATTAGCATTTAGAAATGAACCTTTATTAGAGAAATGAAGTAATTGCTGATTAATAAATTCTATAATATTCGTTCACACTGTGGATTATGTAAAACAATGTCTAAACAAATATTGTTTTCGCAACTTCACTCATCATGTAATATTTGTGTTCGAAGAACTTCATGTAATTAAAATTAACATACATTCATTGACGTGTATTTTTTAACTTCCCGTAGGGGGCCGTTCAAGTATTACGTAAGCACTATAGGGGGGCGGGGGGTTATTGATTTGCTTATTTTTGTGACATTTTGGTGACAGATTTGCTTACTTTTTCTGACAAAGGGGGAGGGGGTGTAAATAATTGTACTAAATCTGCTTACGTAATACTTGAACGATCCCTAGGGTAAGTTATTGTAATCGTCCAAAAATCGAAAATGAAAATTTTTGCATTTATCGACGTTTTGAAGGTTTCTGAACATTTTGGCATACCTCAGAAAAATTGGATGTGTGTGTGTATGTATGTATGGATACAATTTTTCGTCCACGTTTTCAGGCGCACGGATCAACCGATTTGAATGGTTCAAAAAACATTCAATTCCTATTGATAGGGAGATGTGCTGATTAGTTTTGGGCAAAGGCAGGTCCAGCCGATACGGAGATAAAGAGCAAATAGCGCAGAAAACAGAAATCGAGTTTTTGAAAGATCCGAACTTAGGGTTTGAATGATCCAAAAAACATTGATTTGTATGTAAACTCAGATGTCTACCAGTTACATTTTTTTATATTTATATCAATTTCGTAAAGAATTTGTTCTAATGCATATATATTAGTAACTAATAAAATTATCTACAAATCTGTATATAACATTTTGTAACACTTGGAACAAACTTATAGTAAAAAAAATGTTTAATTGAATTAATTTTATAATTGAATTACCGAGTTGAAACAAAATTACTGCACGAAAACATTGAACAAAATACTTCGAGTGTGAAGTTTGCGCGTTTGGAGCAACCGTTAAGATTTAAAATCCAAATTTCAAATATATTAAAAATGAATATTGTCTAAACGTGTATATATTATCATAACAATTTGTAGAACAAAATTATATGAAAAAACATATTTAAACTTAAGAAATGAACGTCATTTTTCTAAACTAAGATGTCTGCTGGATACATTTTTTCAAATTTCGATAAATTTTGTTAATAATTTGTTTAAACATGTATATACTATTATATATCATAAGAAAGCCAATGTCGGGGAAAAGTGGTGATTAGTTATTGGCAACGGCAGGTCTAGTCGTTTCGGAGATACCGAGCTGAATGTGCAAAAAATAGCAGTTTTTGTGAGAACCAAGCGTCCGATTTGAATGATTCAAAGAACTTTCTGCTTGTTTTAACAAAATAATTGCTTCTGGAAAAAACATTCTATTTCAATTTTTTTTTTAATTTTCTTTTTTGTATATCGACACTAATTCAGATTTTAATTGTAATTCTGACTTAAGGTCTAATATACTTTAAACAAATAATTTCAACTTTGCAATTCAGTTTATATAATTCTTATAAATATTAGACAATGTTGCAATATTTATAATAATCTATTTGATAACATTTAATATTTCTCGATCATTTTGTTACAGTACGGGAAGTTCCAGCAATTTACCTTAAGGCACGATGCCATACACCACTAGTTTTGAATTCGATTGATTAAGTTTTGTTTATTCAGATTTTGTAAATATGTATAAGTTACAGTGTTTATAATATTCTATTTGAAAACATTCGAATATTTCATCAAGGTACGGGAAGTTCTAGAAATTTGCCTTAATACTAGTTTACTTTTTCGCTGGCGATATAATCTCATTCTTTGAACAGCTGTAATATCTGTCTTGCCTAAGAAATATTTTACATTTTAATAACTTCAAAGATTTATAGAAACTACGAATAATATAGAAATAATTACTAATCAATAAACTTATTTTTAGTACACGTCACAAATGTTTAATTTGTTTTATTATATTCAAGGAACAGAGTAAAATATTCTGATTCAGGCATTTTTCATTAAATCAAGATTTGTACTACGAAGTAACTTTAAAATGTTTATTTATTTATGCCGATTTCCTTGTTGATATCGGTACCATACAACGTTTATGCCGGTACGCATACAACGACAGATCTCTATCCACATACACGACGAATGGTCTTATCTAGAGCGAATGACGTACAGTTCGGGCGTAACGCAATTTCCGTTGCATTTGTACGGATTTACAGCCTAGACGCGCCTAAAGAAGTTTTACTTCAAAAACTTTCGGCATACGTTGATAAAGTTTAATTGATTTTATTTTTGCAAAATAAGAGATTTCTTTCAACGTTTTCAACTGTTGTTTTTATTCCAGGTGCTCAATTCGGTACAGTAGTATCGATGCCCTTGTCAGGTCTTTTGTCAGAGTATGGTTTCGATGGAGGCTGGCCTTCCATCTTCTACGTCTTCGGCCTGGTAGGAGCAATCTGGTCTGCAGCTTTCTTGTTATGGGTTCATGAAGATCCTGAAGTACATCCTACCATTGACCAGCGCGAAAAGAAATATATTGTTAGCTCGTTGTGGGGAACTGCAGGCACTTCTGTGAGTAAAAATATGAAATATAATTCAAATAGCATTCTACTTGTATTGACAAAGTGAAGAACTGATAAAAATTTTGGGAAGGCAGGTCAGCGGTTATGGACTCTCAATAAAAATAAGTTAAAAAAATGTCATTTGGCGGTCAAAAATGTTCATTGGACATATGTACATCAAATTATTATTATGTGAACTTGATTAGCATGTTTATTTTTTTTCAGACACCACCAATACCATTCAAGAAAATCTTGCTGTCTTTGCCGTTCTGGGCTATCATGTTTGCCCATATGGGTCAAAACTATGGTTACGAGACTCTCATGACAGAATTGCCGACTTATATGAAACAAGTGCTGAGATTCTCCATCAAAGATGTAAGTGATTCATGATAGTTCCCAAAAATTCATATTTTTAGCAGGAAATGCGATTTGCTAATTTTGTGTTTCCTAGATCGTTGGACACCAAAATTGCAAAGTATATTATATTAAAGTGTATATTTTATTTTATTTCAGAACGGTATCCTATCTGCCCTCCCCTACTTGGCCATGTGGCTGTTCTCCATGTTTATATCTGTGATTGCTGACTGGCTGCTTACTTCGGAAAGACTTACACATACCTCACTAAGAAAAATCATCAACGGAATAGGTAATTATATAATTATACAACAACAACTCCTCAACTCTCAATATCTAGGATTCAATATTAATAGCCCGGTCAAAGGTAAAAAAATGAATATTTTGCGATTTTCAGCCAAATGTGGTTGCAAAAAATTGGACTCTTTTATTCCCCGGCGTGCATTCATTGTCGAGGCCAAAGAACAGAAGAATTTATTTTTATAAATATTATTTTGCAATAGTTACGAAACAAACAAAATTACAACAGACCCTAATGGAAAACCACGTAAAAAACGCGCTAAGTACACTACCTCGTAGGTGGCGTTTAAACGTATTTTTGAAAGTGATATGTCTTTAAAACGGTGGCTCCGAGGGAAAAAAAATATTGATGCATTTTTTATAGATAATTTTATGCACTACAAGTCTGTCTCAGGTAATTTTGCGATAAAACTGACCATTTAGCTGAAAATCGCAAAAAATTCATTTTTTTTAACAATGAATCTTGTGCCACTGGCACCGGAACGTGGAGGACTTTTGTGTTTTCTTTTATAATTTTATTTTAAGCAATTTTAACAAGTTACAGCCTAATTGAAAATGATTTTTTTTATAAATCTTCACGTTTCAGAGGTTTCTGAAAAATTTGTCATACCTTAGAAAAATGGATGTGTGTGTGTGTGTATGTATGTGTGAGTGTGTGCGGATACAAATTTTCGTCGACGATTTCGAGAACACCGATCAACCGATTTGAATAATTCAAAAAACATTCGATTCATATTGACAAGGAGACGTGCTGATTAGTTTTTGGCGAAGGCAGGTCTAGCCGTTCCGAAGATACGGGGAAAAATTGCCAAGAACGGTAAAACAGTTTTTAAGAGAACGGAGCGTCCGATTTTAACAGTTCAAAAAACATTTTACTTGTATTGACAAGATGAAGAACTGATTAAATGTTTGGGAAGGCAGGTCCAGCGGTAAAAAGCTCTCAATAAAAATAAGTTAACAAAAGGTCATTTGGCGGTCAAAAATGTTTATTGCACATATGTACATCACATTATCAGATATTTTATAGAGATTTTAATTATGTGTACACATTTTGTGTAAATTTTTCTGGGTTCCGTATCAAGATTTTTATTTTTTATATGATTCAAATAAATGTTCCCGACATTTTCGACAGTATGGAATAACCGATTTATATGATTCAAAAAACATTCGGTTCGTACTCGATCGCGAGACGTGTTTGCAAAAGGCAATTTTGCCGTTTCGGAGGTATGAAGTGCAAAGGGTGTAAAAACGGTTATGCAGTTTTTGAGAGAACGGATCATTCGATTAATTTAAAAAACATTTTACTTATATTGACAAAATGAAGAATTGATCAAATTTTCATAGAGGCAGGTTTAGCGGTTTCGGAGATCTAGTGAAAAAAGTAAAATAAATGCCATTTTGCGGTCAAAAATGATCATTATACATATGCACATCAAATTATCAGATATTTTATAGAGATTTTATCAATAAGTATAAATTTTGTTTACATTTCTATGGGTTCCGTACCAATGTTTATTCGTTAGACGGCGACGCGGCGCTTACGCGCTTCGATATTTCGACTTTATGCAGTTAAGCAGTACGATTGCTTTGAAAAAAGTTCAGAAATACCCAAATATTTCAAAATAAAAAAACATTTTTGTTCAAAAAGTCTTTTTTCCAAAAATAGTAAATTTTTGTCAAAAATTTGTAGTTTCTCAAAAATCTAATTTTTTCAGTAATTTTTTTTCAGAATTTTTTTTTTCAGAAATGTTAATCTTTAAAAAAAAATTTTTTTGGTACGCTGGTACGGGAAGTTCCAACAATTTGCCATACGATGACACGATGACATGCGCCCCATTAGTTTTATAATGCATCTTTTATCCAAATATCATTTTTTCGTATCTTATTTGTGGTGAATAAAAATGTTCGTTCATCAATATTCTATATATAATTTTTTTTCCTAGGTCAATTCGGTCCTGCAATTTGCCTAATGATTGCCTCCTACACCGGTTGCGACAGACCCCTAACAGTCGCCCTTTTGACAATTGGTGTCGGTCTCAACGGTGCCATTTATTCAGGCTTCAAAGTAAACCATTTAGACATCTCACCAAGATTCGCTGGCATTCTCATGTCTTTCACTAACTGTACGGCTAACTTGGCAGGACTCCTTGCTCCACTGGTTGCAGGATACGTCGTAGAGGATAAGGTAATAGAAAACAGACACAACTCTTATCTTTCACTTTTCGTTTCACTTCAATATCTCCCAAACAATATTTTGTTACAAGAGTGTTGTTTTAAGATTTATAGCATATTACAAACTAGGGAATGCAATACCGATGGAAAATTTCAATACCGGTATTTCGGTAATTTTTCATTTTAAAACCGGAATACCGGTAAATTACCGGTATTTTTATTATCTTAAACAAACGTAAACAAAATTCAAAGTTACTAGTACAAATATAAAAAAATGTATATACAACTACAACTATATTCAACTAAACAATAAAATAAAACAATAAGTTTATTTGTTTAAATAATAATTTAACAAAATTATATCCAATTTAATTAATTCATTATCACTATCAAGTATATTGAGTACTTATCACCAAAAACAAACTTATGAGTAAGAAAGACCAACAACTTTTAAAAGACCATTTTATATTATTATAATAAACTGTATTTCCGTATCCGATGTGTTAAATTAGCATAATCTTCAATATTTAAAAAAAATAATTTTTCTACACTAATTTAAGATCGGATACTTTGTCGGGATAAATAACAAGTTTCTATAATTGTTGACTATTGTTTTAAAAAAATGTGATGCTTCTATAGTATTTTCAATCTTCAAAACGTTTTCGAAAAATAATATTTTATAATTGTAATAAGAAGCAAAAATATTTAGTAATTATCATAATTATCGTCTATATATATAAAAATAAGTCGAGTTTTCCTTCCTGACGAAATAACTCCAGAACGCACGAACCGATTTCGACAATTTTGCATTCGTTGGAAAGGTCTCGGGCTCCGCAAGGTTTATAGCTAAGAAAATTAGCGGTGCATGGCATCGTGACCTAATGCAAGCTGCTGGAACTTCACGCACCGTAATTAAAAAATTGAGTAATGACATTAGTGAGAATTATTAGATTTATGCTTGGTTAAGTCAACGAGCAATTTTTGCCACAAAGAATAATGATGTACACGCCCTGAATTTCACCATTCAATCAAAAATTGCTGGCGATTTGGTGACATACCAATGATTCCGACTGGTCTTCCGTTTGACTTCAAACGATTGCAATATCCAGTTCGCCTTGCGTTCGCAATAACATGTCGCAAGGCCAATCGCTTAGTGTTTGCCGGATAAATTTCAAATAGATTATTTAGAAAATCATTGTTTTTCACATGGGCAGTTATGCGTTGCCTGTTCACGAGTTGGAAAACTATCCGCTTTGTTTGTGTTAACGTCAGACCAAAAAACAAAAAATGTGGTTTACCAAAGAGCACTTCAATGAAATGGATAATTGGCGGATTCACTTTCATTTACTTAGAGAAGTTCAACTAAAAAACACTTCATTTTTGTAATCGAAATAAATTCATTACTGTTGTGCAATAAAATCAAATTTTTCCGTTTCAAATATAAAACAAACAAAAAATTTCTTCATCTTTCTCACGAAACCATCTGGTGGCGAAACGGAGTTCGTCGGGTTTGCTAGTATTTTATAATTGTAATAAGAAGCAAAAATATTTAGTAATTATCATAATTATTATGTATAAAGTTAGAAAAAATAAAGATTACTCAGGGGTAAAAACCGTTGCATTTTTACATAAAATTAAACAAACATCATTATCTATCAGTCCAATTCTACTTATTATAGCACGATTTGAAGCCCTTAGTAAAGCAATAAATATTCAGTTTAATGACGAGTTGAGATAATATTTGACATTTCTTTGCACTTGAAGATATAGCTGTTTATGCGATTATGATATTTAAAGATAAATTTGTTCCGAGAAATTTAATCTTTAGTGTATTATGTATCAAACAGCGCTTATAATATAAAAATACCGAAAACACCGTTATTTTTGGGGTAAATACCGGTAAATATACCGCCGAAAAATCTGGCGGTTTACCGGTAATTCGGTATACCGGTATACCGGTATTGCATTCCCTATTACAAACTGTTAGTTATATTATTTTCTACTTATCGGTAACGTTTCCTTTTTTTGTTAATCAGTTTACAAAACTTTCTGCAAAAAGTTGTGCCATCAACAATTTGTACATAATTTTAATATGTCAATTACCAATCCAGCCGACGCAGGCGTCTTGGCGTGTCGTCTTCTTCGCAGCAGCAGGAGTCTATATTGCCTGCTGTGCCTTCTACGTAGTCTTCAGTTCCGGGGTCAGACAACCTTGGGACGACCCCAGCAAAGACGAGGAACTCAGACAGGAACGAGAGGCCAGGAGTAATGGAAATGCCAACGGTGTTAGGTCTAATGGTATCACAACAGTCGAATCGAATCATTGATCGATGGGTATATGTAGGTGTGTGTTTGGACGAAACATATTGACGAGTCTTCCAGAAATAGTAGTAAACGATAATGGATTTTTTTATGTTTTTATGTAGGTAGTGACGTTACCTATATTAGCCCTGGGTAAAAGACAAGATTATATATGTAATTGATGATATAAAGAGTAGAATTTACATTTAGGGGGCGTTCATTAATCACGTGAGGTTTGTAGGAGAAGGGGAAAGGGTATAGTAAGATATCACGTGGATTTATTTTTTATCTGATTTTGTTTAAAATCAAAACATTTTCAAATTTTTTTTTTTAATTTTACGAATTTTTTCGTAACTAAAAATACACCTGATGCTTGCTGGGGGGAGGAGGGGTAATTAAGAATATTACCCAGGGGGAAGAGAAAGTCGTGATTAATAGAAGTCTCCTAATTGATGATACAAAGAGAAGAATTTACATTTTTTTTAATTTAGGGGGCGTCTGTTAATCACATGAGGTTTTTAAGGGCATGAGGGGATTATAGTAAGATATCACGTGTATTAATTCTTTACCTGATTTTTTTTTCAATCCAAACTATTCAAAAAAAATTTAAAATTTTACGATTTATTCTCGTGATGTTTGGTGGGGGGAGGCGGGTGGTAATTTTAAATATTACCCAGGGGGGATAGAAGGTCCAGAAATTCTTAAAAAATTGATCACGTGATTAATGGACGCCCCCTAATTGATGATACAAAGAGGAGACATTACATATTTCTAATTTAGGGGGCGTCTGTTAACCATGTGAGGTTTCTGGGGAGGGAAGTGGGGATACAGTAAGATATCATGTGTATTTATTTTTAACTGGATTTTTTTTAAATCTAAACATTTAAAAAAAAATAAAAAAATTGCAATTTTTTTTGTAACTAAAAATCCACATGATTTTTGCTGGGAGAGGAGGGGTAATTTTGAATATTACCAAGGGGAGAGGGGGTTCCAGAAATCCTTAAAAAATTTATCACGTGACCAATGGACGCCCCCTTAGGATTAATATGCAGTAAAAGTTTTTTATTCTTATTTTATTTTTAAAAAATGGCAATGTATGTGGTTCCTTAAAAGAAAACTTAAAGGTTTTATTATATTACTCAATTTTTCTGTGGAATTTACTTTTGTGAAACTATTTTACCAAATAGTTCTACAATTTATCTTCTTGCTTTCTAATTGTATACTTTTGATTTTGGTCTTTATTTCACAATTCAACTGCCTCATACAAATGAGCATATGGATGTGATGTCACAATATTATCCACTTAAAAAAAATAGACCTGAAAATAGATCGAGTCCTATATTGTTCCCATTTCATGCAAATTGATTTTCCATAAAAATTGGTGGAAAGTTCTTGGTTGAAGATTTATTTTAATATAATAGAAGCTTTTTGTATCTTTTTCTCTTGTGGAATCGACATTTACAAATTGTTTCTTTGAAAGGATATTTAAAACATTTTTGTCTAAATTCCTCTTAATTTTTTAAATTGGAATCAGCTCATAAATCAATGTGAATAATCATAGAAATGGAAGCGCGAATGAAAAACTTTTACTGAACTTTTTGAGAGTAAATATATGTCAAAAAATAAGACAATTCTAAAATGTCAAAAGAATGACTCATTTATATAGTGATTTTAAAAATTATTTATCATTTGTGGCACGTCAGCTTGTGTTACTAATTAAATTTACTATACTTGGTACAATGGGCTAATATAGGATACTTTTTCTTTACCATAGGTTCAAAATTAGTTGACAAAATTAAACTGAGATTTGTAATAAAGATTGCAAATGTTTTAACACTTTAGTTTAATAATTACTAAGGGGGCGTCTATTAATCACGTGAGGCTTTATATTTTACCTAAAATTTAAAAAAATCCTTCAACATTTTAAAAAAAATGGAAAATCTCACGATTTTTTTGGGGGGGTAGGGGTAATTTTGAATATAACCAAGGGGAAGCGAGGGGTCTAAAAATTCTGAAAAAAATCGATTACGTGATTAATGGACGCCCCCCAAGCACAAAACTTATGGTTCAAAATATATTTAAAATAATGAAAGTCTAAATGTCTAAATGTCCAAAATCTGTATTACAAATCTGTCAGTCTTTTTGCAATCTTTTATCAAATATTATTTTCCACCAAAGCACATACTTTTTTGTTTCTATTACAAAAGTATATTATAAATCTAAAATATTTTAATTTAAATTATTGTTCTTGATGATAGTATTTTCCGACTTGTGGAATAGTTTAAATATAGTTTTCGTGTGTGAATGGATTTTTTTTAAGGAACTCAGGAATAAATTAGTCGTCTGTAATTTTATTTTTGATTTTGATCAAATGGAATGAGGTATGAGATTGGAATGTTTCTTCTAGTATGCGGATGGTCGGTCAGTTGTTTTTATATTTATTATTAAAATGTAGAATTCGGAAATAGATTCACAAGACTGTGCTATAACTGTAAATAAAATATTTTTCTACCAATGGAGAAAGATTATTGAAGAATATTATTATTGCAACTTATGGAGCAATTCTGCCGTAACAGAGCGTTGTCATGGCAACATGAAAATGTTTATCTATTTGCCATATTTTTTTTACATAAAATCAAGTAAAGAAGAATCTTATGATAAAAGAATCTTTCATGATGCTGGCAGAATTGTTCCATTATTATAGTTATAGTACATATTGTAGATTTATTATTTTATATCCATACAAAAATACTGCACGTTGTTCAAAAAAAATAATAAAATTTTAAATTTACTTGAAAAAAAGAATAGTGCGGGAGAAGTGAAACTTCGTAAATAAAACTGCAATAGTTACATTGATAATTTACAATAAATTCAGACAATTTGCAACGTTTCTAGAACAGTTCAAAAGTTTTAAAACAACTTTTATCATTTTCAACCAAATGCCTTCTTTTCTATCTACCTTAGAAGTTTCACTTCAATATCTCCCTATAATATTTTGTTACAAGAGTGTTGTTTTAAGATTTATAGCATATTACAAACTGTTAGTTATATTATTTTCTACTTATCGGTAATGTTTCCTTTTTTGTTAATCAGTTTACAAAACTTTCTGCAAAAAGTTGTGCCATCAACAATTTGTACATAATTTTAATTCTTTTTGTTATATATATATATATATATATATATATATATTTGTAGGTTTTAATAGTTAATATAATCTTTAGGGATCAATTTAAAAAAAAATGCACACGTAGTGAAATTAAAATAGTTTTATATGAATCATAATGTTTTTTTTAATAAAAACAAAGAGCTGTAAAGGTTATTTTTATGTTTTAGTCCAATTTCTAATATTTATAAAAATTCAATATGACTGAGGTACCAATTTTTTATTATATTTTATCGAGCTCTTTAATTGTTACAACTTTGTTTTGTGATAATTTTGAAATGTTGTTAGTTTTTTTATACATATGTAGATTTCACACACTTTTGCATATAATTATTATTATTGTTAAAATTTAACAGTTTTGATTTTGCACAGGCTGCAAAAACAAAATGTCGACTAATAAAGAATTTATAAGAAGTTGTGATTTTTATTAGAAGTTGAATCAGAAAAATATTTTATCCTGTTCCTTGAAAATAATAAAATAAATTAAACATTTGTGTCGAGTACTAAACGTAAGTATATTGATTGGAAATTATTTCTATATTATTCGTAGTTTCTATAAATCTTTGAAGTTATTAAAATGGAAAATATTTTTTAGGCAAGACAGATATTACAGCTGTTCAAAGAATGAGACTGTATCGCCAGCGAAAAAGTAAAAAAAAGACAAGCAGTCAATGAATGTTAATTTTAATTACATGAAGTTCTTCAAACACAATTACAGGATGAGTGAAATTGTGAAAACAATATTTCTTTAGGAGTTGTTCAACATAATTATTTTCTGCATTTTTATAGATATTAAAAAATATTAAAGTAGTACAGCTTTTTATTCTCCTTCACTTCATAGTAAATAGATCTCCGAACCACAAATGAGCAATTTCATGCGCCATAATTAGGTACAGACTTCTGATGTCATTAGCTGTTAAATTTCTATCGACCAGAAGTTCGACTTTGAAAAAAATAAATTAAACTAGTCATAAGTGACATTTTGCCTTAAGGCAAGTTACATGAACTTCCCTATATGTATACGAATCAAGTTAATCAATAGCAAATAAGATTCTGATGTTAAATACACTTTTTAATGCATTTATAGTAAACGAGCTTAAAGAAGTTTTACTTCAAAATTTTTTTATATGGCATGTGGGGTGTCGTTGGAAGGTCTCGACGAGTAAAATGCGATTTTCATCAAAAAATGATTATATTGTAATAACAACGTTATATACATGTATGGCAAATAAATATTAGAACGTTAAAATTTATTGATTTTTGCTTAATAATTTAGGTATAAAACTTTTTTATGTGATTTGCGTCCACAAAATATACACTTTTCACGAAATATATACATTTATATTTTTATAAATAATGAAGAATAAATTGATTTTCAGATTTATTACTGTAAATAAGAAATCGAGTTGTGCACAACAATAGTTGTGCAATCAATTATATAAAGATAAACTTCATAATGGACATCTATGCATCTATGCTATTGTCGTGTTAATGAAATTATTCAAGATTGTTATAAGTTCATTTATTAATCAGCAATTACTTCATTTCTTTAATAAAGGTTGAAGTCCTAAATGCTAATTACTATGACAAACCGATCATGTCATATTTGAAGTATGACTTTAATTACATTATTATTTTCAAACATAAATATTTTTATTGGTATTATAAATATATAATTTATAATTCATCATTATATAAATGTGTATAATGGTTGACACTAATAAATGTGCATCACTAGTGTTTACCATCATAGATAAGTAACCATATTACTAATAAACTATTTAAAATTGTTATATGATGTACATATTTATTTTTACTTAAATGTCATCTCGTACAGAAGCAATAAAGTTTTACTTCAATCGCTTTCTTGATAATATCTATTATTATTGATTACTACTTGCTTATGAATAAATAAAAAAATAAGTAATATATCTTTTGCAACTTTAAAAGCATTTGTTTAATATAAATAAAATATTTGGAAAATTTTTGCAATATTAAATAATACTTGTTATATTTGCAACAAATAATACTTGCTATATCACAAATGTGAATTAATGGCAATAGTTTAAATTAAATTTTATACTAATTTGTTATATTCATTTATATTTCGTCAAAATTCAAATTCAAATTTGGCGCCCTTTGTGGCGCTACTGTTCATCGAATGACAACTCTGAAGTTGCATATCTTTAAATGCATCAATGGCGTCCTGTCAGAACTTATTGAAGGCGTCTTAGTTCTTTTTCTTTCGGCACTCCATTGGAAACACATGGCCAAAAAAGAAGAAAATCTCTTCAAGAAGTGAGTACTTTAGAAATAATGTAGTTAGTTAGTTGTGCAAGAAATATTTCGCGTTTGGTCGCTTTTAATGTGGCATACGGTTTGTGCAATCTTGATGCAAGATAAATGGAGCCCCCTTGGGAGTAACTAGCTGTGGATCGAGTTATAATTGAAAGGTATGGTAATAGATCATATTATTATATTGTCTAGGGTAATAGATATTTAGCGTACATTTTTATTATATTCCGCCATTTTGAAGGTTCCATTGTCGATTTCCCAAAATTTTTGACAGTTTTATTACCAAGAAGATTTATGGGCGCGTGCTGATTTTTGCTTGTGATTTAGTAGCAATTTAATTTTGATGCATCGATTTCCAATTCAGATTTTTTTTATACTTATAAGTTATACATATACTTACCGGTTACCTATATACTTATAGTTTATATTTTTACAACATAACCTATAAGTTACAAGTAAAGATGATGAAAATCAAAATAAAACTAGTGGGGCGCAGGGCATCGTGCCTTAAGGCAAATAGCTGGAATTTCCCGTATCAATTTTTATTTAAAGAATAACATTTTTGACACACACACACACACATACATACATTTTTTCTAAAGTATGCCAAAATGTTCAGAAACCTCTAAAAATATATATAAACCTTTCCATTTTCGATTTTTTTGCGATTATTACTTAGCAATTATAAATAACTTGCAGAATTATGTTGTGGATGATAGATCACTCTGCCATTTTCTCTTCAGGGCCTTTAGTTTTTCGACTGACTGAGATTGGCATCCAATTTCTTTCGAAGAATTAAGCTTTTGATCATTGAGCCATTTTCTCTTCAGACACTTTAGTTTGCATTTAGCCATTGACATATGTATCCAATTGCTCTCGAAGATTAATGACTTTCTTTGTGTATTTTTAGGTCCTTGTGGATTATATAAACCGAGTGCTGCAGATCATTCTCAGTATTTTGTTTTGGGCTCTCTGAATTATAAGAATATTGCTCTTGCTGGCACAGCCCCATCCTATGTGTCGATATTGGAATTATCATCGAGATGCTTACTTTCTAATAAAAGTTTCGACGATCTTCTTATGAGTCAGTTCAGGTACTTCATCTATTTAAATCTATTTATTCCTTTTTTATTATTACATGTTTTATTATTCAAATATTATGCAGGCCTTGTGTGACTTCTTAATGAATGATAAGATGTTGATTTATCAACATCTGGTTCGATGTTCCATTTTTCTAGCCATAATTGTTTTTCTCTTAACGAGCCAAAGTTGCTCGAGCTGGATTTACACATGCTCGTTATTACAGACTTTTTGGACAGCGTGTGAGGCCCCAAATAATTACCTGAATATGTAATTCGAAGAAACGTTCTGACTATTTTTATTTTAAACAATTTGGCTATTTATTTATTTTAAACAATTTGACTATTTTATTTATTTTAA